GGCCTCTGTTCCCACTGAGACTCGCTGCGGGAGCCGCAGGCCAGGTGGTCTCTGTTCCCACTGAGACTCGCTGCAGGAGCCGCAGGCCAGGTGGCCTCTGTTCCCACTACTCTGCTTTACTTTGCCTGTTGCTTGAAAACTGCTCGGGCAAAGGGAAGCCAGCCGCAGACACTGGACACCATGGGCGGCTGTGTGGCGATAAAACTGCACTTCATACAGGTCAAACAGGTGCCATGTGCCTGCTGTGTCAACACCTGTCTTGGTCAGTCGGAAACTTCCTTCCTGTAAGGGCCTCTAAGCCGCCTGCAGGGCCAGGACACAGGCAAGTGACAGCAGAAACACAGCAGTGGGGACGTGAGCAGAGGGGGCAATTCAAAGACAAAGGCACCCGTGTTTGCTGGGCAGCGAACAAACATCTTTATTGGTACCGTGCGTGGAGACAGGGTCTGGCTGACAGTTACTCGTGGCCTTGCAGTGGGAGGGAAGGTGCCGAGCTCTGGGGCACTGCCCACGGGAGCCGTGGAGCTCCTCCACTCCCACGAGGACCATGGGCCAAGACCCCCATGTCTCCTTTCTCAGTGGGGGGCAGGGACATGGCTCCCTCCTGGTAGCAGGTATGGGACACCCCCGCTCGGAGCCCCCGGCTAGGTGAGCCGAAACTTCATCTCTGACACCTTGTAGCTGTAGTTGTACCCTTTCCCTGAGCTCCAGTTGATGCCATTTGCGAAGCTTCCATGACTCCCCCCGAGGTAGAGACCATTCAGGTTTGAGTTGTGACAAGACATATACCACCAGGCTCCATGGTACTGCACGGCACAGTTTTGACCACCGTCGGTGTTATCTTGGTCTTTGGTGGAGAAGGGGGAGTTGTTGTGTTGTGTCAGAGAATCACCTGCTCAGAAGAAAAATGGGCTGTTTTACACACAGGGTTGAGAAGCCTGGAGCCTGGGCCCAGGTGCCTGGGTTGTGCACTGCACCACTCAGTGAGCACTTGCTCAGCTGGCACAGGGCCATGGCGTGTCCTGTCTGCCCACCCCTGCCAGCAACCAGCCATTCTGTCTTAGAGAACAGGCCTCCTCCCAGGAGGGCTCCGTACAGCACAGAGTGGGAATTCAGACCCTACAGAAATGCACTTAAGTTTTATCCTTTCTGTTTTCATCAATCATGGGAGCAAATAAAAATAGCCACCATTCATTGGACTTTTCATTGACTGCATTTCATAATTTCCGTAAGTACGATTAACTGTAGGTGGTGTTAGTCACCTTAATTTGCTGTGGAAGAAACTGGCTGAGAGAAGTCGAGTTGCCACGAACGTCACAGACAACAGTCAGAGCCAGGACGCTCAGTGGGTTGTCTGCTTCCCAGACCTGGCCACAGTCCCGGGGCAGACACGCACCTGCACTGCCCTCCACGAAGGCCCCCACGACCAGCTTGTACTTGTCAGCCTCGCTCTCCACCTTGAAGGAGCGGTACTTGGCGAACTGGTGGTTGCCCTCAAAGTCCACGAGGTCCACACGGAGCTCGATGGTGCCTGTTGGGGGAAGGTATCAGAGTCCAAGCGGAAGGTCCTTCTCCCCCAGGCTTGGGAGGCAGGAATTTAACATTTTAGGGGATGTCTGACCTGGCAACCAAGGGGATGTTTCCTCAAGTCCATTACAAAACCCTTTGTGGAGACCTCTGTTCTGTCTTCTGCGCCCCAAGCTCTCCCTACCCAAATTTATTTGATGGGACAAAACATTACATCAAAAACGAATATGTCACTGTTAGGGGCGGGACGTTTCCCGGGTCAGGACGCTGCTCTTGTCCTCTGTTTATCTGGAGAGGCCCCAGGTAGGTGTTTCCAGAAAAAGTAATGGCCCCTAGGGACAGAAGGGCAAGTTTCCAGCTTCCCCAAGATCAAGGACAAGCTGATACTTGGACCGGGAGAACTGAGGACACAGGTGCTGCTCTGACTCCACCCTCTGCGGTTGGCCCTGAAGGAGTGAGAGAGGACGAGGGCCAGGGGTGAAAGTCTCTCTCCTCGGTGGTGGCAGTGTCAGGAAAGAGGCCGTGCAGGAGGAGTAAGGAATGAGAGCTGACCAAAAGCCGCGGCATCCCTGCCCACACTCAGGTTCTACAAAGCCAGGGCATCAAGCTGGAAGGCTAGTCCCCCCTAAGTCCTTGCACCCTCTCATCCCAGTGCTCTGGGGGGGGGGTACAGAAGGGAATACATGTGTGACCCCCTGAGCTCAGGGTCTGATGCCTACAGGTGACAGGATCCAGCCTCCTGTTCCCGATGGCCCAGTCTAAGGGGCAGGGACAGCTCCATCCAGAGCCCCGGGCCCACCCAACCCTGCCTGGCCTACCCTCGGCGGTCAAGGCGTGAATGTTGTCATTTCCCAGCCAGAACTCCCCCAGTTGGCTGCCGAAGCCCCGCTTGTATGCGGCCCAGTCACGGTAGAAGTCCACAGAGCCGTCCACCCTTCTCTGGAAAACCTGCAGAGAGTCAGGACAGGAGGCAGGAGGCCAGGCTGGTATCCCCAGCACAGCAGGACCCAGTCTCCCAGGAGCAGGAATTGAGAGGTCATAGTGTACCACAGCCCTGTGCCACCAGTACCCCGACCTGGTCT